ACAATGGTACAAGTCCATTGACTTACCATGCCAGAAGCCAATTGCCTGAAATACTGTAAGAAAGGCCTTGACTAGAGAAATACTAACAAGCTACCAAATTTATTCTCCCCCTCTACTCCACTCTGGTGAGATTCCTCCCTGCAGTCCTGCACCCAGCTCTGGGGTAACAACACGAGGGATGGAGCTGTTGGAGCGAGTCCAGAGGAAGCCACAGAGATGCTGTGAGGGCTGGAGCCAGGCTGAGAATGCTGGGCTGGTTCAGCCTGGAGAAGAGAAGGCTCCAGGGAGACCTTAGAGCAGCTCCCAGTGCCTAAAGAGGCTACAAGAAATCTGGATGGGGGCTTTTAATAAGGGCATGTAGTGACAGGACACCCAGGAGAAAGTCCTTTTCCTCACCATCACTTTACTGCAATAAGCTTTGCAGGAAGGTTGAATGTCTCCTACCAGCTTAGGAACCCCTTTCCTGGTCACTAACTAACCACAAGAACTGGGTACTCTCCTGTGCCTGTTGTGCTCAAACAGGCAACTATGTCTCTTTTATTGAACACCTATAGAAAACAAGCTTAAAAAAAGCACAAAGGGCAGTCTTACTCATTCTCTGTCCCTTTCCAATAGCAACAGCATCCATTCATTTTCTCTTAGAAATTCGTTTTCCCTGTTCCTAAAACCCTCTATGTCAGCAGTTTATGTAGTCCTGCTGTTAGAAAGCCTTTCCCACTGTCTCATACAGATTTCCTCCAGTGGAGCATAAGCCTTCTACTCCTTGTGCTGCCTGTACCACACACGGAGCACACCTCCTTCTCCGAGGCAGCCGTTTGATTTTATGAACTCTCACAGCTCCGCACTTATCTTGCCTCTAGATTAAACAAATTAATTCTTCCAACCTTGCCCCAGTGCCTGTGCTCTCCAGATCTCTGATCTCCATCCACTCCAAGTCTCCGTGTGGGGCCCGGAATGAGACAAAATGCTCCAGCTGTGGCCGTACCAGTGCCAAACACAGCACAAAGGTTGTTTCCAGTGGTTCTGTGTGGTATGGTGGTGTTTATGTTTCCTTGCATCACTGTGATAGCCTCAACTGGTGTTCAGGCTGCTCTCCACTAGAACCCCTTGAGAACCTGCTAGCTATCTCACAAATAACTTATACCTTATCATAGGACTCTGTGCCTGTCCTTGAACTGAATCCCACTTAATTCAAATGAGTTGTTCTAATTGTCAAGATCCTTTGGAATGTTAATCCTTCCATCCACATGCTTTCAGCTTTTCCAGCTGAGCGTGGCCTAGAAATGCAATGTGCAGCTTTTCTAGCTCCTCACACAAGTTACTGCCCTAAGCACCGACATGCACCAGACCCACCACACCTTCCCAAGGAATCCCACACTCTGCATCCTCCCCATTTGATCGACACTCACATAGAGGTACTCTTCAAGACTCACCCCACTATACAACTCTCACTTCATGTCACTGTGTGTCTTTATCTTGTTTATGAAAATGTCATTCAAAATGGTATCCAGAAGCTCTCCTGCAGGGAAGACAGAAGTCACCTCTTCCTTATTGACATGGTCTGCTATCCTAAGGTGGAAGGAAATTAAGACTGTTGTCATGATTTAACACCACTGGGTGTTCAGTAACACCTCATCACATTCAAGATGGTTTGTTTTCAACTTTTTGTCCCATTGTTCTGCTAAAAACTGAAGATCCTTGCTTCTCCCTCCAACTCACTGCCTTCACTTTCAAAGCTATTTCCAGTGCTGGGCCTCTCTGAAAGCTCATGCAACCTTCACCAGCTCTGAGAAGCAATTCCTGATGGCTCTTAACCAAGTCAGCCATTCCCCTTTCAACATTAACTCCTCCAACCTGCCATTCCCCTATGTTAACCTGGGCTGTTATCCCTTCTCTCCAAGGTTACCTATAGCACGGGCCTGAACACAGGTGAGATTCTTTGTTAAAACAAAGCTTAGGGACAAACCAAAAAGAAACACAAACCAGTTTTCTCTGGTATCAGCTTGCTGTTCATCTAGAAGCTTTACTCTGATTTGCCAGCCGTCCCTAGACAACACACCGCCACCTTTCTTCTTCACCCTGAAGCTTTCTGCTGGTCCAGCTCCCACCACACCATAGTTCCATGAACAGCCCCACGGGATCCCTAAGCTGCCTCTTCCCCCTTTGCTGCTTCCTTTCAGAGCATCAGCCAGCTGTGGGATTTATCCCACTCAATCTCTGCTGTGAGTAATTAAACCATACTTACGACTGCATAGAAAAATGCTCAGGTCCTCCTGCTGGAGGCAACAAGCTTTGAGAGAAAAAAAAAATCACTCCTAGAACAAAATTCCTACACAAAGTAGGGTTTTAGGAGCCAGAACTTAATTCACCTACTTTAATTCCCCTCCAGCATTGCAATTTAAGTCCTATTACTCCGATCCTGATTATACGCAACATAATCTCCTACAAAAAAAGTACAAAAACTGCATTCTTCCTTGTTAAGTTTCCTTATCTGTAGTGTTTAAGCCATTTGTATTATTTTTTTCACCAATGAGTAGACCTGTCAAAATTAGTTTAATTACAAAATTAAAAGTATTTTTAAACAGAATACAATAAATTGTTTCCCATTAAACTTTCTCTCCAGGCCATTTCACCTGAAAAAGTGAAAGGCTTTCAAAGCCTCCCTATAACACCCATCTGATGTAACCAACAACCCTGACACCACTGATGACAGAAAAGAAATTCTTCACCAGAGCTGAGCAAACAGCCATTAACTTTTAGAAGAAAAAAGAGCTAAAGAAGTTAAATACCTTGGTGTTTGGTGTAACTACCTTTGCCCTCCTTTCCAACAGTTATTTAATCCTCCTTACTTGTGTTCACAGCTGGGTATCAGCCTTTAGGAGCACTTTAGGACACAAGGGCGGACACAGTTACTGACCTTGCGTGGAAGGCATTAGTAGCAGGTTCCTTTTAAAAGATAAAGGGGTGCTTGCTTTTGGGGGCGCTGGCCTTTAGCTCTCATGGTTTCCCATCAACAGTGATGCTTGCTGTCACCTCAGAGGAGACACAGCACACATCAGAGGACCAAGGTCTCTGTAAAGTACCTTTTCAAAGGTAGTGTCAAAGGTACCTTCCCAATGCCCTGCTGCAAGGCTCAGTGCCACCAACACCCTTGACACAGCACCTCTCCTCTGCTGTACTAAGTGGACCATCCATGCCTATTCCCTCAGCAAATTTTACTGCCAATAACAGGAAAGAAAAAGTATAAACTAGAACAGGAATGCTGATGGACTGAAGCACAGCAGAGTGAACACAGGCACTGACACTACAGCCTGTGTGTACCTGGAGCACCTCCTGGGAGAGCACAGGCTGCTGGTCCCTGCCCCTGAGCAGGGAGCTGCAATGGAGGTCCTATCTGGAGCTGCTGGCAATCAATCCTTGCACTGACTGTGCTGCAGAGCTCCACGTTAAGAGATGATGGAGCACTCACTAGAGCCTGGACAGCTTTACTTGGCTCCACCTGGTGGGCAAACAAGGTGCGCTTGGGCCACAACCACCCAGCCCCTCTTGACGAGTCACTTGCTTTCATGAGAAAAAAAGATAATGAATTAAGACTGTCTTCAATAACACCGACTTTGTGTCTCCTGTGAAGAACTAAATTCATAAAGAGTAAAATACATCACTACCGGATGGGATTATTTCCTGTATGTCTCTTTCTATTCCCACATATTTCAGCTATAGAGCAGTTTACCTTCACAGGTCCCACACAAGTGAAACTGCATTCCTAAAAACCAGTATATATTTACAACCACCACTCTTGGGACTCAAAGTACCCTGGTGATAGCAACCATCAAGCAATTCACAAGCAGCTCCTAGGCAGAAATGGAGCAAACACGCACTTCCTACAAGACAACTGTAGTCTATGGGGCGGAGTCTAGTTGGAGGCCTGTAACTAGTGGAGTGCCTCAAGGGTCGGTTCTGGGACCAGTATTATTTAATATATTCATCAACGATTTAGATGAGGGAATTGAGTGTACTATCAGCAAGTTTGCTGATGACACTAAGCTGGGAGGGTGGCCGACATGCCAGAAGGCTCTGCTGCCATCCAGAGAGATCTGGACAGGCTGGAGAGCTGGGTGGGGAATAACTTGATGAAATATAACAAGGGAAAGTGTAGAGTCCTGCATCTGGGCAGGAACAACCCCAGGTTCCAGTATAGGCTGGGGAACGACCTGTTAGAGAGCAGTGTAGGGGAGGGGACCTGGGGGTCCTGGTGGACGACAGGGTGACCATGAGCGACACTGTGCCCTTGTGGCCAAGAAGGCCTGGCATCCTGGGTGTATTAGAAGGGGGGTGGTTAGTAGGTCAGAGAGGTCCTCCTTCCCTCTACTCGCCCTGGTGAGACCTCATCTGGAATATTGTGTCCAGTTCTGGGCCCTCAGTTTAAAAGGACAGGGACCTGCTGGAGAGATCCAGCGCAGGGCAACTAAGATGATTAAGGGAGTGGAGCATCTCCCTTATGAGGAAAGACTGAGGGAGCTGGGTCTCTATAGTTTGGAGAAGAGGAGATTGAGGGGTGACCTTATTAGTGTATATAAATATATAAACGGGGAGTGTCACGAGGATGGAGCCAGGCTCTTCTCAGTGGCAATGAAAGGACAAGGGGTAATGGGTACAAATTGGAGCACAAGAGGTTCCACTTAAACCTGAGAAGAAACTTCTTCTCAGTGAGGGTGACGGAACACTGGAACAGGCTGCCCAGGGAGGCTGTGGAATCTCCTTCTTTGGAGACATTCAAAACCCGCCTGGACACTTCCTGTGTAACCTTATCTAGGTGTTCCTGCTCCGGCAGGGGGATTGGACTAGATGATCTTTCGAGGTCCCTTCCAATCTCTAACATACTGTGATACTGTGATACTGTGATAACTGTCTGCTGTTACTACTGTGCATAACCACAGTGGAGTCCCTGTGCTCAGTTTCTCCATTCACCACCCAGGAGTTTGATTCTGCTTGGAAGAATGGAGGGAGTTACAAATTGCACCCCCATGGTGTATGTTTCCTCAACAGAGACCTTATCCTACCTCTTCCCCACCAAGTAAATGAATTGTAATAGGAGCTCGTGACAAAGAAGACAGGAACTCCTTGAATTTGTCCTTGTCCTTGCATCTCAACAAAACCCCCATAAACATTACACAGGAAAAAGATCCATGGTGCAATGAAAGGCAGGAGGTTATAATACATGTCTCCATTTAAATTCATGATGGATTTCATTTGCTCATCCACTGACAGGCTCTGGAGTAATTTTTCATCCTGTGTTGTCAGATTTTTATACCTGAGAAACAATAGAGGTCTGTTAATTGAACTAAGGAACAAGGCAGTCCCATCTACTTCGTCTGTGCACCCCAGCTAATGATAGAAGCAAAAAGAAAATGCTTAGTTAAGTATCTCTGGCTGCAAGCTGGATGCAAACCAAGGGCATTAATAGCTCTCTTTAAGACAGACATATGGACTAAAGCCCAAGACTGTATCTCTGTAATTGTGATTACAATAGGTTTCTAGTCACTGGAATATGTGTCCCAGTTTAACAAGGTCCCTGTTGTCATTATATTCTTGCTGAAGTTAAAGCAATAAATAGTTCTGCACTCTTGATTTCTGATTTGAAAAGAAACAATCCCAATAGCATTGCTATGGCTTTTTCAACCTCAGAATTCCATTCTGTCTTTATCTTTTTTATTACACTGGAGTTAATTTATTACAAGACAAATCTATTTCTCCAACTCACAACCATCCACTTGCAATAGCAATTGTATTTAATTAATTCCAGTATCAACTTAGTTCATTTAGTGCTGAGTAAAACTGTTTCCTATCAAGCATATCTGCTCTTTTTTAGGCCACATTTAGTCATTATCATGACCAAAATGCATTTTAATTTTTTTTAATTCTTGAAGATGCAGACTTGGCTCATCTTAGACTTGTTCTAGCAAAACACTGTATAAAGGAAGGTATTACTGCTATTGCACAAGTGATGGGGTAGCTGAGGCACAAAGAGATGAAGTATTTCACCTCTGGAGGTGAAAACAGAAAGCGAACACAGCTCTGTGGTCTATACGCAGTACCATACACCATGATGTGACATCCATCCATCCATCACGTACTGCATTGCTAAAGCTGCTTGCTATACTCACTTAAAAGCTGCTCATTTTGCAAAGGTTCTGGCAAAAAGAACAGATTCTGTTTCAATTCTGCTACAATTTCTGCTTGAGCTCCCATAGTGGAAACCCTCTGGAAAACAGGGGCTGTGCCTCTGGCTCACACATTAAATGACATGCAGCTGTTTATTATCCATGGTGTCTGTGTCTCAGAGAAGACAGATTTCCTGAATACACAGATATGTACTCATATGTGAGCAGCACTGATGAGCTGCATCATGAAATTTTCCCTGTCTAACCTAATTGCATCTATCCCAGACAGTAATAACACTAAAGGAAAAGGAATTTCACAGCCTCTGTTCCCTGTTTCATAAAAAGCTCAGCTCTGAGCGTAATCCACCAGGGCAATGTTTGAAAGCTACAGTGCACAGATGCAGTCACACAGAAAATTAGAACTGCTTCAAATGAAAGAGAAAAGAGGCAGCTCTAGTACAGAGCTGCGTCAGTACCAGCTCAACAGTGGAAAAGTACCTCAGCTGCTCAGCCTCTTTGCTTTCCTCTCTGGTAGTGACGTCAGGCACATTAATGAAAGCTCCATTAGCATATCACCTTCTGTGTTCCAGTGTCCAAGTGGAGCAGCTCATGATTCTCTTCTAAGCTTTTAAATAACCACCAAAGCTGAGCCAGAGCTGCTGCTTGGTAGGGAGGACTTGGCTTCATAACATAGCCAGTCCCCAATGCAACACAAACAGATGTGCCAACAGAGGGATAAAAAAACCCAACCCAGAACAGCTTCAATTCTAACAGCAGTCATTTGGCCCTTACCCCAGAATAAAGATTTTAATTTCTAATTGAGTTTGAAACTTGCATGTTTGCTCCCCAAAACCAGGGTACAGACTTTGCTGAGCGTGAAGAAGGAAGCACCCTTGCTAATGTCCTGCCAGTATTTCAGCTGACAGTGAACAGCCATGGGACAGAAAGTGCATCCTTGATGACCTTAAAGGTCCTTTCCAACCTAGTTGATTCTATGATTCTAACATTGAAAAGAAAGAAAACCTACAGACAGTTTAACTTAAGAGTGGAGTCTTTGATGGGAAGGGCTCCATGTTCTATGAGTTCAGGGGTCTCTGACTCCCCATGGCCCCCACTTAGCCATCAGCGTCTGAGAGAGGACAGCAATGTGTGGAACTCCACCACCCTTTTTACTGAACTCCTGCACCCAGCTCTTTGTGCCATGAGCACAGATGTGAGTGCTGTCACCCAGAGAGCCATTTGTCAGTTCAGCACTGCATCAATAATTGGCACTAGATTTCATTGCTGATCAAAATTAATCGTGGGGAAGGAGGCAAGATGTGAGGTCAAAGAAGCACCTGCTAAGGCAATACAATATTGACAGAAAAGAGTGAAAGATGAAAGGCCTAAGTCTGGAGCAAGTTCTCCCTGTACAGGACCAGAGGCTGCTGTTAGACCTGACAGAAATCTTAAAGGGCACCGCTGTCTTGTAGCATTTGGGGGCTAGAAACTGGGAAATCTGTCTCTGTCAATTCAATAGCAATGACAGGAAAGCACAAGCATCTTGCAGTGCTCTAAGCAAGAACTTCAACCCTGACCTAGATAAAGGCTATCTAAAAGAAACAGGAATTCAAGCCCAGCTGGACTGCTTTGGGAGTCTCTGTTGAAGTTACAAGGCAACTTACAAGGTTCAGCTGGGCTTGTAAAGGGCTGGTGTTGATCGTTCTGCCTGAATGGACAGCCCCTATGGAAATCAAACCCCAAACACAACAGAACACACCAAAGGCAATCCTTCAATTCCCATACACCCTCAAAAAGCTTCTGCCCATTCCCTAGTCCCTTCAGTTACTGAGGTCCTATTTTACCATAGCAGTGTTAGACACAAAACAATCTGCAACCATCAGTGAATGCTTCACAAGCAGACAAAACTGCAACTTTTAAAAGGTCGTGTTAAATGAGCTCAGGTCATCAACTGATTTTCAGCCCCACAATCCACACTCCTATTCAATAGCTGATCACATTGACAGGAGCCAGGTTTTGCAGAAAGGAAGATAAAAATGCTAGCAAGTCAAACTGGCAGATGACGCTGCATTTAGGGCTTTATTAAACATGGCTACAGTGTGTGCAGATGTAATTAAAGCTTGGGCTTTGATTTGGCAAGCAGCCTCTATAAATAGTCTTTCTGTTACTCAGTTCTTTCTCCTCAGTGCTCCATCAAAAAGAAAAGATGTCCTTCAGCTCCTCCCCTACCCCTGGGATGATCACATGCTTTATAGCCCTGCAAACCTTGAAACAGCCAAACACCACAGCAGTAATATTTGGGTAACTCGCTGTGGGAAGAAAGGGGATTATCTTCAAGGTGCTTTTCTCTCAGCAGTATCTTCCATTTGCTTGCCTGAGGTGGAGACACCAGGATGAAGGAGCAGGGCCAGAGTGCAGAATAAGAACACAGACTCCGTAGCATGGTTCCTTCCAAGTGAGATCTATCTTCTAAGTGATCTATGGGAAAAGGAGACAATACTGAAAAGCTTTAACACTGGAGTTACTTCTTGCCAGCTGATGTATTTCATCTCCTCATTTCTCAGGGGAGCTATATTTTGCTAATTATGTCTAATGAATTTTTAGGGTAGAATTTTTTTCAATAGATTTTGCATTCATTCTCACAGCATTGAAGAGAATCTGTTGTGTTGATCTAAGCCCATATTTAAGCTTCGTAGCAAACAGAGAGGGCACAAATAGGTTTAAAACCACCCCACAGATCAACAGAAATAGGTTTTAATTTCAGTTCTGCAAAAAACAAACCTTTGCTTTCTGAAAACTTACTTCCACTACACAATAAAGCAAACCAGAAATAGGAGTTGAGCTGCCCCTTTCAGCATTTAATAAACCCAGAAAACAACAAAATACAGGGAAAGGAATATTAGCTGCATAAACAGCAACAAGTAAAGTTGACACCTAATGCTATTTATTTTAATGCTTGAAATAGCATCCAAAATCAGCAATTTTAAACAATCCTTCTGTAAATTAGAATACAGGAGTGTCTTACAGTATTCTAACACTGGAGAAGATGAAAAACCCAAAATACTCTTTATGAAAAGATCAGTTGGCAAATCAGTTCTAGCAAAAAGGTATTTGAATGGAGCAGGGACTGCAACTGGAGCTGACCTTAGGCAAGAATTTCTTCCCAAATAGCCCATAAATCCCTCAGAGATACCTGGACAAGAGCAAAAGCAACAGCAATAAAGCAACTGAGACAAACATCATGAGATCTTCCCCCCAGTGTGATTTAGAGGGGTAAAAGAGATTCAGAAGTTCTCTCATCCATTTTCAAGTCATGAACACCCATACGGAGTGGGAGTGAGCTACCACCACATCCAAAGGCAATGGTTTGGGTTGACCTTCCTTATGCACCAGTGGCTCCAACTAAACTTCCTAAATGGATCAAGTTTGCCTGTGCCTAAGGTGCCCTACAACAGCACGTTGCCACTTTTACCCTCCCTTATTCCAGTACAGTCAGCAGTTTCATCCAAGTAAAGTGAAAGGAGAACTGAGCTTCTCCTTTCAAAACTGACGATGTGATTTGCACGCTGGAATGGAGAAATCCTGCTTTTCCCCTTCCTGGCGGCCGGATAATACATCTGCACACCGAGTAGCTAGGAATCTAGAAGTACTCCTCAAAAAAAAAAACCCACTACTTAAAATGACTAATCTAAATCAATAATAAGAACACAATTGATTCTTTATTTGCTCCCAGTGGCTGCCCTTGTCGACTTACAGTATACTGCCTTCCTAAAAAATCATAGGGCTCTTTGTTTGCTTCCAGAGAAAACACTTATTTCAGATAATCTTGCCTCCACAAAGTTATTTTTCAATGTTTCAGTCACTGCTATGCCTGCAGGAATGGCTGATTACCCATAAAATGCCTTCTGACAGCTCATATTCATTACTAAATTACCACATGTAAATGTTTCATGTGCACAGGGCAATTACTCTCCTGAATGACTGCCAGCGACATTCCACTGGATCTGAATGAATTTTTCAAGGATTCTAATTGCCATTTAGATGCCCCTATAACTCTGGGTTTAAAGGGTTGCGTTTCTTTTAATCGTGGTTATACCTGTGTTCAAGGCAAATGTGTTCCCTCTCACATTTCATATTGCTGCCAATTACTTACATCAGAAACAAAGGAATGTGAAAGTGGTGGTGCTACACAGGCTGTACAGTAGAAATGATTCATAGCCAAAGTCTTGAGCATGAATAATTATCTGTAACCCTCATTTGGAGCTTTTGCTTCAAGTTACATTATTCATAGGGCTTTTGGCAGTGGAAATGAGTGAATACCAACTTGACAGACACCTTAAAAAATGCTAAGTTTTTCACGTAGTTGGGCCAAACTAAACCTTTAATGTCCCCAATGAGAGAAAAAAGGGAATGTGCACATGGAATATGAGGGGTTTTACCACTGACAGTAAATAAAATAAACAGATACAAATAGATATTCAGAAAAGACAGCTGACTTTTTCATGACACCACTAAGATAGGCTGGAGTTCTGACTTGTCTCCCAGTGGAGTGCCATCAGGAAGCTTCATTAACACAGTCTATTTTTTATGCCAAGGTTGTTCATGAAAGTAATAAGTAAGAGCAAAAATAAACTAATCATTGATGAGTTCTCACAATAAACTCCAGCTACATTGATGCTTCTTTTTGTGTCACGTTCTTCATCCCAGTGCTTGCCCACTTCAGAGAAATCTGTTTCTCTATTATCCCTGCTCCCTATCAACCGGTAGAGAGGCATCAAATCAAATATTCCCTTGAAAAGCAGCTGGATCAATGCTCCTTTATTTCTTTTGTGTAGAAAGTCAAAGATCAGGTTAACAGCAAAGAAAGAGAAATATATGCCCACAATATCTTTTGAAAGCTGTCACAACTTTGGTCTTGAAAGCAAACCCACCTGCTGCATGGACAGCAAATGTAGAGGCAGAGACGCAAACAGAGCAGGTTAGAGCAGGCAGGTTAGGACACCAGTGGGAATGCTTGCTCAGGTCACCTTATGCTGTGCATGGCAGCCATGTGGGCAGAAGACAGGGGGTATCCCTATTTATCTGCTTGCAGAGATGCAAGCAGAGCAGGTTAGAGCAGGCAGGTTAGGACACCAGTGGGAATGCTTGCTCAGGTCACCTTATGCTGTGCATGGCAGCCATGTGGGCAGAAGACAGGGGGTATCCCTATTTATCCCAGACAAGACATGAGGCACAGAGGTAGCTGTATCAATGACAGAATTACAGCAGATTCAAGCACAGACATAACTCAGCCAGATGCAGATCCTAAAATGACTCTGAGATAAGCAGTAATTAAAGACAGGAGATCTAAGAAAGGTGTTTGAAGACGGTCCCATCGGAGAGAGATGTTGAAAACTAACCTATAAAAAGGCTTCCGTTTCCTAAATTATATATGAAGCAAATGACCCACCAAAATCCAAGACTCTTGGATTACCTTGCTGGTTTTGACATTGGCTGACTGCAGAAATGTGGGCAATCCAGTGAACTTTTCCATCTCTCCAGTTCCATTTTTAGCAGGGAGGGAATGGGGGAAAACATGTGGTGCATCCACTTCTGCAAAGATTATGAAATCTGCAGATGAATGAGATGTAAGTCATTTTTAAGCAATATCAATCTTCTGCAACAACAACCTATTTCACTGAAACCTTCAACAAAGGCCAAAACTTCTGAGGGATGGCTGCCAGCAGTAAGTTATGCTTCAGTATTCAACCGTGCAAAGGATCCATGAGGGGTTTTCATCTGCATCTGAACTCTAATGAGCAGCTCTCTTGATAACTTTATTCCAACATTAAATACCAGCCCTTAATACTTCCCCCTGTGTGTTACTGTCCAAAATACACAGCTACGGATGAGGAATTGCTCGGAAAAGGGGATTCCAGCAAAACCTGCCACCTGTGAGAAACACTCCAGTGTAACACACAAGTAGTATGAGGTCAAACCTGGATGAAGGCGCAGTGAAGTGCCAACATTATTTCCTGCTTCCCAGTGGTCCCACTGATCCTGTGTACAGTAACTTAAGGATCTTGTGATCAGCTTCAATACAGCTAAGCTGGGCTCTGGCTTCAGCCTTGCTGGCACGCTTAGATACAGATAGTACAAATAGTACACAAGTGTATTTCCACTCAGCAAAGAGGGCTGTGTTTTGCACTTGTCATGGATTGATTTAAAAGAATTCCAGGTTGCTGTGAAAGCTGCATATGAACAGGAAGAGTTGGGCTCCCCCCCTACCATACAACCTACCATTTCCAAAGATCCTCAACGTTTTGCAAATTGGAGTCATACCCTAAGAACTGAAAGAGTCTTAAGAAGCGACCTCAGTACAACCCCTTGCTTTTCCTGCTCTCCAGCTCCCCACTTTAAATTCCTCACAGATCAGCAATATGGAACGGCTCTCCATAACTCTGATGAGCTTGTGTCTTGTCCCACCCTGAGAAGAAAGCTCTACATTGCAAGGAATGTTGTGTCAGTTAACACCCATTAACAGTCCTAACAGCAAGTAAACCAAGTTGGTGAGCGTCTCAAGACACAGCTACAGTGGGGTAACTGACAAACAGAAGCTGTTCCCCTTTCTCCTGTCAATCACATTGCCCAGACATTAAAATAAACTGCATTATGGGTTTCTTCAGAACTTCACAATGCCAAGAAAAGATGCCAAGCCTGAATGGCACCTGTCCTTCCTTCCCACTCCATGAGAGAGGACTACTTCTTTCCCATACGGATATAGTGCAGCAGGCTGTCACAGACAAAACAAAGTGAAAAAAACCTAAAGCAAGTGGTAGAACTGAGTACTGAAATGTATTTAAGAATCAAAGAGAGAGAGCTTTTACCCTGCCTGGTTCTCTCACGTGAATTCATTTTCTCTCCTCCAAGCTTTACACATTCACCAAGTCTTGCCTGCCTCTCCCCAGAGGAAGATCACTGCTACCCTGAGAAGGTAAGTCAGAAAGTTCTTTGGAGTCACCAGCCTCACCCACAATTGGCCAAGGTCCCTGCACATCCCTAGGCATGTGTGTCCATGCATCTCTCTGATGCAGCTCTCTCCAGTCAGGATCTTCACCACCTTCTTTCCAGGTCCTCTTCTTTTCAAGACCACTTCTTTTTGGGAAGCCACCTTTTTGACTTCCTTATCTTTCCAGCACCCTAAGCCCCCGACTTTCCTGATCTAAACAGTCTAACGCAGAAGCACCACACTTGGTTCTTTCTTAAGCCTGATTATTAATCAGAGGGTTCGGGACATTAATGGCAGGATTTGGGATATGTCACTACCTTTTAGTCCACACGTTACCAACACTGACAGCCAGCCCATCTCAATCACAGCTAGCAAGTAGCAGGCTTCTGCTTGAGAGTTCGAAAGTTCAGACACCGAAGCACAGAGGCCCAGTGATCTGCCAGCTGTGTGCACTCCCAGTTCAAGCTGCTTTTTCACATCAGACACAGAC